CCCCCCCCTTGTTTTTCGCTTTTGCGCTCTCATATTCATGCGATGATATATCCCCCCCCCCCCCCTTGTTTTTCGCTTTTGCGCTCTCATATTCATGCGATGATATATATGAGATATGGAATCTGGGATTTTTTTTTTTTTTTTGCAGACAAGAATGTTTTGTCCTGGGTGGTCTTGTCCCGTCGTTTGGCCTTTGTAGGACTGGGGCGGTGTTTGCATGTGGGACTTATGTCATCTAGGATCCGGTTTGTGCTGTTGCTTATTGCCCCCTGTTTTGTTGTATTAGGCTGTGGTGTCCTTCCTCTCTTCTTTGCCTCTTTGCCCTTTGGCTGTGTGCAAGTGGGGGGGGTCAATATGACACACGGGGGTGGGGGCAGCCGCTGCTCAACCTACATCCACGTGGGCGGCCTTGTACGCAAGAGGAGGTTCTGAACAGGGGGAGTTTTATAAGGAAGAGAAAAAAATTGAATTCATTTTTTTTTTCTTTCTTCTTTTCTTTTTTTTCGCTTTTGCGCTCTGATATTCATGGGACAATATATACACGAGTCCATGTGTATCTATCAATGTATGTATGTCCTCTCTCTCCCTCTCTTTGTACGTTTGACTCGGCAGCTTTGTTTGACTTTTATACAAGGTGTTTAGATATCTTGGTTGGGGTCTTGTCCCGTCGCTTGGCCTATGAAGGGGAGGGGGGGGGCCGGTGCTTGCATGTGGGACTTGTGTCATCAAGGATTTGTTTTTGGTGCTGTTGCTTGTTGCCCCCTGTTTTGTTGTATTAGGCTGTGGTGTCCTTCCTCTTTTCATTGCCTCTTTGCCCTTCGGCTGTGTGCAAGTGGGCGGTCAATATGACACACGGGGGTGGGGGCAGCCGTCGCTCAACCTACGTCCACGTGGGCGGCGTATGGGGGCAGCCGTCGCTCAACCTACATCCACGTGGGCGGGGCATGGGGGCAGCCGTCGCTCAATCTAACATCCACGTGGGCGGCCTTGTACGCAAGAGGTTCTTTTTTAACGGGGGCAGTTGTTTAAGGAAGGGAAAAAAAACGATTTTTTTTTCGTTTTCTTTCTGTTTTTTTTTTTCGCTTTGCGCTCTGTTAACTTTGTGACGATGTATAATAATATATTTGTGTATTGAAAGAATATATGATATATGATCTGAGTGTATTGGTTCTTGAACCTTCTTTCTTGTTGTCTAGAGACCAACTGTCGGCATCGACGGCGGAGAGTGGTTGCAGGTACAAGCTCGTTAAATGAAAACAGGAACATGTTCAACGAATTCACGACTTAATTGTGACCATAAAACCGGTCGGATACAATCATAATTGTCCCGGGCTGATGATCACTCTTGGCAGAAAAATGATCTGCCACGTAATCAATATTAAGTCCGAAGTCAAACGTACTCGGTTAATAGCCGCAAAGACGATGATGATGATGATGATGATGATGATGGCAAAGACGATGATGATGATGATGATGAGCATGTAGATTACGATCATGATTGATGGTGATTATGATGACAAGCATGATGATTAGGATGACGATTACGATGATGATTAGGATGATGATGATTATGATGAGTAGGATGATTAGCGTGATGGTCGGATCGTGATGATGATGATTTACAGGTTGAGTATCTGGATGCTGCTGCTGCTGATGGTGATGAGGACGATGATGATGATGAGATGATGATGATGAAGAGGATGATGAAGAGGATGAGGATGATGATGAGATGATGATGATGAAGAGGATGAGGATGATGATGATATGATGATGATGAAGAGGATGAGGTGGATGATTAGGATGGTGATGGTGGTCAAGTGGCAATGGACTAGGTAGTGTTTCCATTGGCAATGCATTGATAGACAAAGTAGGTATTCGAAAGCGTAAAGACAAAAAAGGGAATAGGCCAAAAGAGGGGACGAGTCGTAGAATCGGTATATAGCAGGATGAATAGGAGGCGAATGTGTGTGTGTGTGTGAGAGAGAGAGAGAGAGAGATAGAGAGAGAGAGAGAGAGAGAGAGGGCGTTTTCAGAACGCCGTACCCTAATTTTCATCAAGTTTTGGCCACAGTTTGGATTTTCAATTTCGTTAAAAAAATAAAATACTGTATGTCCGTTTTGATGAAATCGCTGTTGTATGTACTTTATTCGGAAAATTTATAACACCCCTTTGGGTATTTACACCCCTTCGGGTATTTACACCCCTTTGGGGTATTTACACCCCTTTTACCCCCTTTGGGTATTTACACCCATTTGGGTATTTACACCCCTTTGGGTATTTACACCCGTTGGGGGTATTTACACCCCTTTTACACCCCTTTGGGTATTTACACCCCTTTTACACCCATTTGGGTATTTACACCCATTTGGGGTATTTACCCCTTAGACGTTCATGGCCGCAATATCGGCATTTTCTGAACCGAAATCGTTAGGGCTTGCCGGTGTCTCGCGCCAGTAGGAGTCCTTGATGATTTCGGGTCAAGAAACGCCGAAATCACGGCCAGGAACGTCGAATGGAAATGCTCGAAGTAGTAATACGTTTTTTGTTTTTTTTTTTGGTGGTAAATGAATTTTTGAATCGTAAATAAAAAAGTAATGATGATAGGTTTCTTATCGAGGGTCATTTTCGGTTGTATCTAGACACAAAGTCCCACCTGATACACAGCTGTAATGACCGTGCTGCGTTCTATTCGGGAGAAGACGGTTGGCCTGGTTGTCAAACGTCGACGGGGTGAAGTTCCGGCACTCTTCCCGGGCCCAAAAAAAAAAGAGTGCATCTGGAGCGTCTTCACGTCCAGGTGAAGGTCATCATGAACTTGGGCGTCTGCACGTCCAGGTGAAGGGCATGCACTTGAGCATCTGCAAATGGTGGCTGGCGGATTCTTTTTTTTTTAAAGTCTTTTTCTTTCTCTTCGAAATCGGGTGTATTTTGACAGCACTGCCATCTTCGCCCGAATAGAACGCCCCCCCCCCCGCCGAGTCTTTATCGCTGAACTTGGGCCAACTTTCAGTCTCGGTGCAGCTGTAATGATCAGCGAGCGTTTTATTCGGGTGAAGTGCATTTTCCAAATAAAACGCTGGTCAAGAACGCTCGCTGATCATTACAAGGAGAACGTTGTTTCTGTTCCTGCTCCTCTTTCCTTCTCTCCTTGTATGAAATCTCTCCTCTGGACGTTCATGTCTCGTAGGTATTTATTTGTGTGCCACTGGTAGAGAGAGAGAGAGAGAGAGAGAGAGAGAGAGAGAGAGAGACCTCTCCTGAGAATAATCTCTCCTCTGCATATTTCTGGTTTCGTAGGTATTTCTTTGCATGCCTGTGTGTGTGGGAGAGAGAGAGAGAGAGAGAGTAAAATGTGTATGTGTGTTTGTCTGCGCTGTGTATACACGTCTGAATAAGGAAGGGGGAAATAGCGCGGATGCCCAGGTGCATGACCTTCACCTAGACGTGAAGAGGCCCAGGTGGGCTTATTTCTATGACGCCTGATAGTCTGTGTGCATGCACCCGGAGCGGTCGGCTGTGTCCACAGAAATCCCAGTGTGAGTTGGAGTGAACTGCGTGGGTAAATAAAGGATAGAAGGAGGTGATGATTTGGATATATATCATCCGTGAGAGAAGATGGAGAAAAAAAGAATAACAAGAAGAGAATTGGAACCAGGAAGTTAAAAAAAAAGAACAAAAAAAAAGGAACCGAGAAGAAGAAGAAGAAGAAGAAGAAGAAGAAGAAGAAGAAAAATAGGAAGAAGAGGGAGTAGTGAAAATAGGGGCCAACTGCCTTCCGTACATGCATCTCAAGTCCTTCATCTTTACATAGACGCGCGTAAGGAACTTGAGAATCGTGTACTTCTTCCGTACACGCTTCTCCAAGAATCGTGTACTTCTTCCGTACACGCTTCTCCAGTCTTAGCTTATGTGCACATTCCCCGCCTCACATTTCGATCAGCTGTGCGCGGTC